AGTTTAACTTTACTTTCTCTTGTGTACAGTCAACAAGTTTTCCTTGACAAGTTTACTTTCTCGTGTGTACAGTCAACAAGTTTTCCTTGACAAGTTTACTTTCTCGTTTGTACAGTCAACAAGTTTTCCTCGTCAAGTTTACTTTCTCGTGTGTACAGTCAACAAGTTTTCCTCGACAAGTTTACTTTCTCGTGTGTACAGTCAACAAGTTTCCCTCGTCAAGTTTACTTTCTCGTGTGTACAGTCAACAAGTTTTTCTCGACAAGTTTACTTTCTCGTGTGTACAGTCAACAAGTTTCCCTTGACAACTTTACTTTCTCGTGTGTACAGTCAACAAGTTTTTCTTGACAAGTTTACTTTCTCGTGTGTACAGTCAACAAGTTTTCCTTGACAAGTTTACTTTCTCGTGTGTACAGTCAACAAGTTTCCCTCGTCAAGTTTACTTTCTCGTGTGTACAGTCAACAAGTTTTTCTCGACAAGTTTACTTTCTCGTGTGTACAGCCAACAAGTTTTTCTTGACAAGTTTACTTTCTCGTGTGTACAGTCAACAAGTTTTCCTTGACAAGTTTACTTTCTCGTGTGTACAGTCAACAAGTTTTCCTTGACAACTTTACTTTCTCGTGTGTACAGTCAACAAGTTTTTCTTGACAAGTTTACTTTCTCGTGTGTACAGTCCAATATTTATCTCACGCTAGGCTGTCGTTTATTTGCCAAAATCTTACAAATGTCTTTTCTACACTTGTCAAGTTTTCCTTGGCGGTCGTTCACACGAACAAATATTTATTGACCAAAAGCTGACATGCCAATGTTATGAAACGAAGTCATTGCGACGTATTTTCTTAACATTTTCATTGAAAGTCGCCCAGTATTTTGAATTTCTCTGAATAATATTTTGTGGAAGTGGGCGGTGCATGGTCCCTAGGTCGCAAGTGAAACGTATATGGTCGCATTAAAGTATAATATACCTTATACTTGTTGTCGCTCAGTCATAAATCATACAATGTAATTTCGTGCAACTTGAAACAGTGCAAAGCTAGAAAATCATACTTACTGTATTAAATTGTTCCCGTACTGAAATGACATTTGGATGTTTAAAATGACATTTGGATGTTTAAAATTGTATTGGTAAAAATTTCCAAACCATCCGAACTGAAAAATCCCGAAAGAAGGATAAGCAGTAACAACAACTAAGACTACAATGGCTAATATATATTATATACGTAATATCATACAGAATTATTTATATTATATACATATTATTAATTATGGTATACTTATGAATTGTTTGAATCAATATGAAAGTTTTACCTTATCAGAAGATTTAAATTATCAGAGTTTTGTCCCAACATAGCCTCCTCCGCAGGCATCTCACTGAGGAATCGGGTGGTGAAAAATGTAATTTTTTTTCAAAACCCATTCGCAGGCTAGAACCCATAGAGAGGCCTGCGGAGGAGGCTAGTCCCAACAGTTCAAACGACTACATTCTAACTGATTGATTTTAAAACTGCAGTTGCAGCCTTTCGTTTAGTTGTCATTGGCGACAGTTCTCTCCATACATTGCTACTTAAATCTAAACACTCAACTGAATTGAGATATGTTTTAGTTTCGTAATCATAGCCGCCCATAACAATGATAACATTGCCAGTGATAACTGCTGCACTTCTTGCTCTTTTATGATTGAGGCAAGGCAACATTTTTATTTTTCCTGTTTTCACATCATACATTACTACACTGTTTAATGTTTGACCTTTCTCATTAACACCTCCGATCAAAATTACATTACTTTTATAACTAACACTAGCCATACCAGAAATAGGAAATGGCAGTGGTGGTAAGGTTTTACATTCATTATTGTTCAGGTCATATACATACACAGTGTTTTTAGCGTCCTTGAGGTTGTTTGATGTTTGTCCTCCAGCCACTATTGCCCGATTGTTCACGATCTCACAACCATGTCCATGGAAACATCTTGGCTCTGGCATCTGGGTCAATAATTTTGAGTTATGTGGAGGATCTAGACTGATTTCATAAATCGCATCTGAAACATTGTCACCGTCACTAAGTCCACCAGTTAAAATCGCACTGTTCTCGTGACGAACCATTTTGTGTCCACGACACTTCAATGGCATCTTCACAGGAGACTCCGTCCATTCTATGTTTTCCTCGTCAATATTTAAGGTTTCAATATTGTCAGTGACCTTGGCGCCATGCCGTCCGCCGCCGACATATATTTCACGACCATGAATAAATGATGAATGGCTTGATCGTGCCTCCTGCATTGCTGGTTCCAATGTCCAGGAATTCTCTGGCCAGTTGAATGACTCTACGGAATTAAGACTAGTCTTGCCATCATACCCTCCGCACACGAAAATCTTCTGTTTACCAGTGAACCATTCACTTCTCTCAGTTGCTTCTTTTGTAATGCATGCCATTTCTTCTTGAGTCAGCTTTACTTCATCATTGACTTCCCTCACATCTTCCTTGACGTTCCTCACATCATCCTTGACTTCCCTCACATCTTCCTTGACGTCCTTCACATTATCCTTGACTTCCCTCACATCGTCCTCGACATCCTTTACATCATCTATAACTTTCTTCACATAATTCTGGACAACGTTTAATCTTCTCGCTAAATCGTCCATTTCTTTTCGCATGAAGCACGGGTGTACACGACTCGACTTCCATATTACTTGTTCTCCACACTCGTCGCAAACGATCTTACGAAATTGACACTGTTCACGTTCGTGTCGTTCTTTCTCGTGTCGGTTCATGACCACTTCACAACCAGCGTTTGTACAAGGCGTTGGTGAATAGCCACAGCTGTTGACATGCCGATCAAGGAATTCAAGCTTGACGAACTCTGGGCAGCCACGGTTTTCGTGATCACAACGAATCATGAGACTCTGTAAGAAATCCGTCAAAATTCTCGGTGGTTTGGTTAAGGTTTCTTCCGTCAGATGGTGTTGACACATGGGGCAAGTTTCGGCGTTTTCGTGCAAACACTTTCGAATACACGAGTGGCAGAAGTAGTGTTCATTCGGGCATTGTACTGGATCTTTTAAGACCTTGAGACAAATCGAGCACTGTAGTTTTATGTCAACTTTGTCTTTGAATCTCTCCTCTTCATAGCCGCCAAATGAATCTCGCCTCGCCATTTTACTTGAAAGTTGATTGGTTGTCAGTGTTGTCGCCGTTAGTAGGAAGAGTTAGTAGATCTTTCTCTTGCACTTTCCTATAGTCGCTTAATGAAAAACGACGCCGAGTATATGTTTGTTATACGCAATCTGCTGATATCACCTTGGTGCTACCTGCTTCTTGAGCGTTTTGTGGTTTAGTTTTACTGTAGCACAAATATAAACAAACCCTGATTAAGTTTTTTTTCTGAATTTGTGGTAGACGTGACGCCTTTTTCAAAGCATTGGATTGAGTTATAAAACTTGTTTGGGACTTTTGTGTTAAATAGGATCAAATTGGTTGAAAAAGTCTTCAATTTTTATTTAAGATGGCGATTTGTTAGCTTTGGCTCATAACCTATCGTGTTTAACTCGATCGATTTAACGCTGCGGTGTTTATTAATTTTTATATAATACCTTATTGGATTCTGATCGTTTAATTGGCTGTTTATAGTCACGTGATATTGAATAGAAAATTCCATTTCCCAAGAGTGCAATGGAATACGTTCCATTGCACTCTTGCGAGTGCAATTGTAACTATACGTTTTATTCCATTGCACTCTTTGTGTTTTCGATAAATCGCATCCGTCAAAATGCTTCTCGTACGGTATTCGCAGTTTATTTTAACCCGATATTCGAAACTCAGTAAATGGGATTTAATGCAAATACGACTCGTCAAAATGGCGGGAGCTTACAGTAAACCTTTTAATATTTGTCTATTTTGGCATTATATAAAACAAATAATGAATGTTTTTATTCGTGCAATGGTAAGAATATTTTCATTCGGTGAAAGATGGAATGTTCCATTCAACTCGGCTGTCGCCTCGTTGAATGGAACATTCCATCTTTCACCTCATGAAAATATTCTTACCATTGCACTCATAAACATTTATTATTTGTATATTAACATGGCGTTTATTTGAGAGTCGTGTTCATAACAAATCTAATACTCAGGGGATGCTGTTTATATGTGAATGGCTGGACCGGCAAACCGCGATGACATTCTTCTATGTCTTACAGCGACCTCAAGACATGTAAAATAAAATTGACAGCAATATTCGGTTCAGATTAGGTGTAAATTTGTCTTTAAGTTAATTCAAACCTTTTCCTGTCGCAAAGGAACAATTTTTATAAAAATGTTTTAAATTGCTGAGTTTTTGGTGACCAGCATGTTTAGTTGGAAATGCTTCAATGAAAGACGACATTCGCATGATAAAAATAATTGTGATGTTTTCTAAAATATAATAATATTTTGATTGTACCTGTCATTTTTAGCTGAGTGTGACATTTAATGGAGTAAATATTATATTTTTCTCTTGCACCTCAAAGTTTTTCAAACAAACGCCCAAATGTTTTATCTTAGATTTTAAAATTTTGAAGACCTTTTCCAGAACTCTTAAGTCCATGCAATATTCAAAAAGTGGATTGATCGATATAATGTGTAAAAATACTTTGACATTTCAAGCGAATATCCTTGCATAGACAATGTATTTTTTCCAAGGTTTTAATTACTTCTTATTTATTCTTTCTGTTTCATCTTCACTTGAACATTGAACTGATCGTCTAAATCTTTGAGACCAATAGAGCAATGCAGTTTAATTAATGTCTAGTTTGTTTTCAAATGTCTCTTCTTCATAACCACCAAAGGAATTTCTCCTCACCATTCTCTTTGAAACAGATTAGAGAAATCTTTCGCTTCCCTAACTATAATTTTTCATATCATTGAAAACACTGATATTATTCTTCAAGAATCTTCTTACCCTAACCCTTCCCCTAATCCTGGTCCATTACGCTGCCCCTAACCCCTGTCTTTACAATCTCAACCCTCATCTTAACCATATCCTAACTGTGATCTTAATCCTTATTCATGACTTTGTTGCGTTGTTTTATTGTCGAGAATTCGCCTCCGCTTAAACGTAGTTCCCGACAATTCACAAGATCACAAATGTTTTAAGAATATATTATATTTAACCCAACAGTAACAATTAAATCAATTAATAGAATAGTATAGAATGTTCTCCCTTGTGTCCCAGTTAACGTAATGTTCCCAAAATATATGTTCGCTGTTTGTCTATCGATTAGACTTTCTCGCTCACAGTCACAATTCTCTTTCGAATATCTCGCTCCTTGTCTCACTCGTTTTCTAGCACTAACTCAACTCGCACTCATTCTCCTCTAATCTCTCTCCACTTCGTGCGTCATGCATGTCAACATATATTAATTAGATCTATAATCATCAGTCAGTCCCGACATTATGTTAGTATTAGGTTAGTATTAAGATTAGATCAGAATCAGGCTTATTCTGATCTAATCTTAATCCTAACTTAATACTAACATAAAACAACGCAATAAAGTCATGGTGACGTTATTTTAGGTCATAAGTTAAGTCGCCCGGCCGGTATTTTGAAGTAGGCTACCTGAGTCGTGTTTTCTGAGTAGAGGATATTTGCTATCATCTTCATACTTTTTTCTGGGAAAGGTATTGCCTGCATGTATTTGTCAGATATTTTGCTGTCCCTCCATTACAGAACATATGACACGAAGTTAGGATTGTTCATAGTATACTAGAAGTTTTTGATTTAAAAAAGTTCAAAAATTATAGAAAAACAACCTTAACATTTTGTCTTTCTATGGGTGTGTTTCAGGCCCTCTTCCAACATATAAACTATAGTGAACTATGTTGCCCCCCCCCCCCCCCC